TTTTAATACATTTTAATACACACATCTTAGCGTCATGCTAGGTGAGATTGAGATTCTGCTGCAATGGAGACTAAATAAATTTGGCACTTTTCCTACTACTAACTTAAAAGTTATTGTCATTTTGCACAGAAAGGTTTGGTAGTGGATGCATGCATAATAGGAGGTATGTGATGTTAGTGACCGATAATGTTTTAGTTTTTCTTTTTTTATGAGAGAGAGAGAGACAGCAATTATTCACATCGTTTTAAATTGATAACAGAATTTGAGTTGACAATATCAGTATCTCGGCTATTGGTAAAAAAGCCAAACATTGAGCATCCGTAATATCAAAATAACTTTAGATGATTAAACACCCTTAAAATATTAGTTAATTTGTTTTCCCAAATAAGCTACAATAATCACAATATACTGTAAGGTCAAAGAAAAATTACTTTCCCGGTAAAAACTATAGAAGAACTCCTGGTTTTAGAGCTTGGATTTACCCAAGATTCAGATCTAAATTTATTCCTGTATGAATCAGCTGTCTGAGGTCATTCCGATGAAGCAGTAGGATCCTTCTCTATAAAACTAAATTTGCTCTCTCTCTTGCAAAAATGCTTCATCAAAGTTCAGATTTTTATATGTAATATAATTCAACAGTAGTCTCTATATTTTTGTAGGTTGGAAAGTGTTGCTGATTTCTTTCCATCCTTGATATTTAGCCCTGGTTTCATAATAATGTTGCCCTTTTTAGTGAATCTTAATGATGTTTGCATCTTCAAAATAAAATCAAATCTATGGAAGTTTTCTTTTTTGTGAGATTTTTATTTTTATACAAGGGAACATTAACAGTTTGCTGGAGGAGAATAATCATCAGCTATGGATGGAGCAGATGCTGGTTCAGATTCCTGGTGTATTTGATAAGTAGCTGCCCTTAAGCAAGTCAATTTGTTCAAGTGGAACTGTCCGGTGATGTTTGGATGAAACTGGTGTTTGCAGAGCGCCTCTCAGGCATGCACTATAGGAGTGTGTAGCTGGGCGGTGCTGAAAACAAGAGTTGGAGTTCAGCAGAAACCTTGTAGCTATAGAGAAGTAAAAGTGGGAGAAGAAGGCTCTTTAAGAATATGTTGCCAAGATGTTATTCTTGGATCTGTACATCTGCTCAACAAGTAATTGCAACTGCAGCAGTGAGCTCTGTAGCAACCAGAGGAAGCTGTAGGTTATTTTCTTCTTCCAAGTGAAAGCTGTTCGATGCAGATGCTCTCTGTGGGTGGTGTGCAGATGCATAATCTACATATTTATTTGTGCACCAGACAATCTTGTTTCATGTTCTAAATAAAATACATCATTATACCATTTTAAAAATATTCTTTTATGGTTTACTTCACAGAAAAAAGCAATATTGTGCAAAGTTATTTTTGATTTTGAAGATTGCTTAATAGCCTGTGTGTGTGTGTGTGTGTGTGTGTGTGTGTGTGTGTCTTCTCTGAAATTATAAATGAATACTCTTGAGATTTTAAACTGATGTTTGTATTTTTAAATGTTTAAAAGTCCCCTAAAAGCATAAAGCAGTTGAGTTCTTTTTTTGTGTAAACAGACTTAATAAACCCTTACTGTCTTCACCAACCACCATGTTGTCAGGACTTCTTACCATGTGTAATGCATGTACCTGTATGTTCTGAAAGAATATATTATGTTAATTTATTATTGATTTTTCATTAGATAAAATAAAAAAATGTTGACATACTTTCTGTGTTCGCCAGATGCAGGAAAAAGTGTGTCCCTCTAAACCAGCCAAAGTCATTGTGGTTTCATAAACCACATATGTGCGAGCGAGTGTGTGTGTGTGTGAGTTTGAGTGTGTAGCCATTTCTCAATTCATTGTTTTTTCCATGTTCTCTGATATAATAAACATAATATTTGGAGATTTAGAACTGATGTGAGAATTATTATTTTATTTGGGTTTTGCATGTACACTTTATTGCCTGTTTTGTCTATTCAGAGAAGGCTAAGTTGACTTTGCTGTATAAAAAAGGCTTGTGCGTAGTTTTCTGGGCGCTCATGGTTTATACATCAGACAACATGGGCCTTTTTTTACATATGTTTGTGGAGAAATGTCATTGTAACATACATTTAGATGTTAGTGTTGCAGAAATGAAAACAATTTGAGAATTAAACAAGTATTGCTTTAAAAAGTCTTTATGTAAAAAGTCTATCATTTTAAACCTTTCATTTTAATCAGTGTGCATTTTACATATTTCATAAACTGAGAAAGGAATTGACAAAGATATGCCAAACAGTTCAGAAATCCATTTTCTTTTCATGTCTTCCCAAAACATCCTTGGTGTAATGGGAAATGTAAGCTTCAAACATCATATCATCTGTCCTTTTACTCAAAGCCAGCTAACACAGAGAAGACAGAGAGCAGACAAAGCCTGAGGACTACGAAACACTGAAGATGCTCTCCCCCTCCCCAACTCCTCCTCCAGTTCTCGCTCCTCGTCTCTTCAGGTTTCTGCAGAAAGTTTGCTCTGCAGAAGCTGTCTATCTCAATAAGTCAGTTTAATACTAAACTAAGTCATGAAAACTAATTATTATTCAGAAAGTCTGTGAAAATACCCTGCACTTGTCTTTGCAGACCCACCAATATGAGAACTATTCAAAGCTTAATATAAAACAAATCATCTTCTCTTGGGAGATTTCAGAGATCTAAAGTACACGATTCTATCTGATCATCTTTAATCTTCTCATATGTTGTTAGGTTTGAGGTTGCACTTTTTAATTTGAAATTTTATTTTACACTTTTGAATAAAAAATCCCAGACTAAACTATAAAAAAACTATAACAATTGTAAAACCAGCTCACGATTCAGGGGACAAGACCATTTAAGAAGAGAAAATAGTTTCTATAAATTTACATTTATTGTGTCTACTGCATTAAAATTCATAAGTGACCTCAATTAGAGGGGCATCTGCTGCTTGATTTACATATTTAAATGACAGATCATTCAGATGTCTTATAATTACTAACGCGCTTCAAAAATATTTCACTGATTTGGCTGTGATTATAGTTCAGTGTCAGTGAAAACATGTCCTGCCTTTAATGAGCCCAGAATGCTCAGCAGTCTGATTTTTTAAATTACATTTATTTGTTCTGAAATTATTTCGCCCGACCATTCAAGCAGGCTGAGAAAGGCTGAGACTCACCTTTTGATTCCAGAATAACAAATAACCAGGTAGCAGAAGTGATCATTCAAGTTCTTGGAATTATTGAGGGTGATATAAAAGTAGTGACTGAGTGAAAAAGAAAATTTGCGATCTCAGGTATTCTATTTCTTTCACTGGAACACCTAATCAGTTCAAGCTTTCTAAATGCTTTCTTTTTTCTTACTGTCTTGTGTTGATTGTTTAATCTGAAATCCTACTGAGCTGCTTCACCGCTGTACTTTTTTCTCTCCTGTCATATCAGTTTATGGACATTTTCATTTCTTATATTCTGACTTGGAAGTTGGCTTATAGACTCTTGTGTCCAGGTTGATTATTTACTGTATGTTAAAAATAATTATCTACAAAACAGCCACGGTTTTTATGAAAGCATTGCTGGATTATTATTAGGGATGTAAGAAAATATTTATATGGCAATATATGGTGATTTTTTTTCCCTGCAATAATAATAATGATATTCAAAAGCAACGTATCAAATTTTTAGAAGAATTTACCTGCAAGTATTTGTGTATTTTCCTTTTCTTTTTGTGCAATTCAAGCGCCGACCGCTAGTCGCTAATATTGTCTTGCTGAATGTATCGCAATATAAATGTTGTATTGTCTCCCCGTATCATGATACGTATCATATCGCCATTGGATAGATAGCTATGTTGTGATTTAAATTAGGCATTTTGATTTTATATTTTATTAAAGCAACATCCTGCTTAAGCCCCTTGTGTGTAGGCAGCCCAGAATTCAGATCAGTTTCATGAAGTAAACTATGTTGAATACCTGAGACAGCCCAGTCCATCTGCCTCTCTGAAGTCCTTTAAAAGATCAGAATTTATCTTGTTTGTTTAATATGTTAGCAAACAGGTGTGGTGTAAAAATAGCACCCTAACTTGTGGTGGTTCAGTACTGGCGTTCTGCCAGGCCAGCTGCATCCTGCTGTTTTCGGTATTTTTTCCAAATCAAACTAATTGTCTCTCTGCTTCAGTTCTGCACTTAAAAACAGGCGTAAGATCGAGATTCTCATCTGTCTGATGGCAAGAAAAAAAACAGGCCAAATTATTCCTTCAAGGTTTGAAGGTAGTGTTATTCTTGTCATGGAGTTTAACAACATACCGGCAAACACATAAAGCAGGAATCAGAGCTATGGTCATTTTAGGACGCATGTGTTTCAGATAGACTTTTAAGATCATTAGCAGGCTCCATCAGTACAGCAGGTAATACAATCTTAAGTCCACTCAGGGAGCTTTTAGTCTTGAAGACCATGCTGACTAAAACCATCAGACTCTGGATTTCAGGTTTTGTTTTGTTCAAAATGCAACACACGCACACACACACACACACACACACACACACACACACATATATATATATATATATATATATATATATATATATATAAATCTGACCTAAACATTTGAATTTTATTATTTTTACCACATAATTCTGCATATCATCTAGCATGTGCTCTATAAAAAAACTGGTATTTATTCAGAATTTTCCTAATTTATTCCTGGTGTGAGAAATTAATGGGGACAAAAGCTCCATGTTACACCCCAAACGTGGGGAAAAAAAAAGAAAAACTGTCCATACATTTTCTGTCAGTGTTTGATTTTTGGAATTTTGTGCCTAAAATGAGCTGTTTCAACAAGTTCCCATTTGTGAGGTCACAAATCAACATAGAACCACCTTTCAACTGGAGTAGAGCTGTTGCTGCTACTTATTTAATCTAATCTAATCTCTGAATTATTTCGTGTTTCAGTTCCTTCAGTGTCTAACTCCTCTCTCCTTTCTTTTTCTCTGCCACAGCAATCGGCCGCACGCTGATACCCCGTTATTTCAGCACGGTGTATGAGGGTGGCGTCACTGAGCTCCACTACATCCTCAAACACTCTAAGGAGTCCTTCCACAATTCCTGCATCACCCTGGACTGTGATCAGTGCACCATGGTCACCCAGCACGGGAAGCCAATGTTTACAAAGGTAACACCTGACCCCTGCGCTTCTCCCACCATAAATAATTGATCACAGGCTATGATAATGGCCAGATAAAGTGTTAAACTGGTCAAAGATCAAACACATTTAAACACTTTGATCCCCTTTTTCTCCACTGTCTTTAATCTTGTCTCTGTAAATCCTACTCAGTAGTTTTACTGTTATATATTTAGAGAAAGTGATTTAATTCATTAGAAAACCCTGTACCATCTGCTTCACATGTCTAAAATCTAAAATGACTGCTCATGTTACCTGAAAAAGAGAATATTTATTAACATCTGGAACAACGTAGTTAACCTTGCATATCAAGTTGTGATTAAATTAGTTTTTTTTAAGTTTGGTTCATTTCCATTTATGTTAAAACATAGCTAGACGAGACTTTAGATGCTAAATGCACCCAAAAGGTTAGCGTGCCAATCGACTTGTGTATATATATATTCCTTTTGGCCAAATTTTAACTAAGGTTTATTTATTTATTGTTTACCACTCATTTGCATTTACTCTCCTCCCTATCAGAATCTTGGCCTCAGCCTGGCCCTTACAGCATTCCTCACATTAAAGATACAAACTGATTCTTAAGCCTACCAGTGCTCCAGTCACAGCTATACAGACTGAAGTAAGACGTTTGAGAGCACGGTTTAAGTTGTAGTCTAAGGGACGTGCAGATGGAAGCAATAAAAGTAGAGAAAACACTGATTGTTCAGGTAAGAAAATCCAAACCTGACAGAGAGGTCCTCTGAAAGCAATAAAGCTGAGCTCATCAGCTTTTGTCTTTGGGGACAGAGTCCCCCTGTGTGGTGAAGTGAATATCTGCCTTCCCCACCGTCTGATCTGGATGGCTCGCTGACTCTTAGTGTTCTTCTGCTGACTGTCTAAATGAATCTGAGGCCAGATACCTTGTCAGCACTGAGCAGCCGAGCTACAGGGATTCCATGTTCCCTGTACCATGAACCTTTAGCCGAAGCACCAGACCAGATTGTTCTGACATTAAACGGCTATACACCCTCTTGTTTCAACAGTCTGCAGTTAGTCTTCAGTGTGCGTGCGTGTCTGCTTGCGCGTTCGTGCGTGCGTGCGTGCGTGTGTGTGTGCGTGTGTGTGTGTGTGTCTGAGACCTGCCAAAGACTGTGAGGCTGCAAAGTGAAAACAGATAAATAAAGAAGTGGTAGAAAAGACCAGTGTTATAATTATTCATTTATTGATTTCTTTATGTTACAGCATTATTTAGCAATTTTCTGTTAAGGGATTTCACAAAATCATCATATAGATTAGTCATGTCCAAAGTGTGGCCCGGGGGCCATTTACGGGCGTTCTAGTGATGATCACTGTGATAGATGTAGATCAACAATTTTTGCACTTTCTTGTGTTCAGATTTGAATAATATGTCTATTTTAAGCCTTTTTGGACAGTATAAATATAAACGTAAGCTATTTTAAAGCTTAAAACATCACAGTTTTCTGGTCCACGGGGAATTATAATTTGACTATGACCATCATTTAGAAAGGTTTGGACACCCCTGATTTAGATCCATGATTTGCTCATATGACTTAACACGGGCAGCTCATTAATGGAAGCAGCTAGGTACATCTCTAAAAATTAATTATTGTGGCACTTTAGCTCTGGCAACTTATGTAGGCGTGTTTTGGTGCATAATGCCTCCAGTAACAAGTCAATCTTTGTGTGAAATGTGAGATTAAAAAAATAGGAAGAACACAGGACCTACTGAATATTTTTGGTATCTGGAAAATTTGCTAAAAAAAGTTAGAATAGTTTTGCACTCATGAGCCTGTTTTGATTACCAACAGTATTTGATGAATTTTAAATCAAAGGACTGATTAAAAATGAGATAATTTTACTCAAGTTTCTGGTTTGTAATTTGGCTGTTTGACACTAGACCAGCATCTCCAGCAGCAATTTGGAGCTCCAGTGAATAGCTTCCTTCCACCTACACCTCTCTTTTTTATTCCACATGACCTGTGTGCAATTATCAATGCTGTGACATTTTAATTCCAACTGTCAGAGAAGGTTTTTTTTTTTTAGTTCTGTAGGACTGGACCATTATAGAGGATGTGGGAGGTTTTTACTGTATGTGAACACGTTTTTGCACAGGGTGTTATGAAAAGTAAACAAGTACGGTGGATGAGGCTGTTCTCGTTATGCGGTTAATAAGTTGAAATAGAATAAATCCACTGATACAAATAAGGACTCTTTTTAAAAACAACAGAGATAAAAAACAAATAACACAGTACAGGAGTCAGATATTAACTGTACAAAATAGGAGCAGAGCGAGCAGGGGCTGGTCAACAAAAAGCTAAATTTGATGCTTGCAGCCCTGCCCTCTTTTCATCTTCACCTAAATTGGATGAGAAGAATTAATTCATTAGAAAAAAAAAATTCCAATAACAGAGCGTGTTCTGTCTGAGCTCCCAGCAGCAGCGAGCCTGCAGCTCTGGAGGCCCGAATCTCAATCAGCTCTGCCTCGCCTCGCTTTCCTCAACCCCCCCATACACACACGCACCTCGCTCATCCTCCTCCTCCCTGACTCGCTGGCTCTCTCCTCCACCGCGCTCTCTCATCCCCCCACCTTCTCCACCCCTGCTCCCTTGAGATGTGCACACACACACACACACACACACACACACACACACACACACACACACACACACACGCATCCTTCATCCCCAGAGAAATCATCCCCAGCTCCCGACTTGAGATCTTGCTCTGCTTCTCTTTCGCTCTGCCTCTGCCTGTCTCATTCTGTTCCTGTCTGTCTTTCAGAAAGTCTGATTCTTTCCATTTTTTCCCAATATTCTGGTTTACCAAAAGTTGTTTTACAGTTTATTTCTTGTTTTTTTTCTAACTACACAGTAACCACAACTGTAACTGATTAAACAAGAAAGGATTATAAGCTCAAATACAAACAGAAATCTGCATCATTTGTTGCATTCAAACCGCTCTACTGTAATTACTGACTACACTCAAACCAGTGACTTAGTGGTTAATGATTTGTTCCTCAGGACACTGGTGTCACACCAGCTCCAACAGGTAACAAACTACCTGTGTAACCAGAGTTAGAATGAAAAAAACAAAGCTATAAGTCATTTAAAACAATGATTATTGCTAATTGTCTTAGTTGTTTGAGAATTTATAGACTGCTAATGTAAGTATTAATTTAGTCTTATTGAGTTAATTCTTTATTTTAAGGTGGTGTAGATTCATTGCAGAGTCTTTTTCCATGCAGTAACTTTGAAGCGTAAATATATCTGAAACTGCCCACTGTTTTGCTCTGATAGTCACAGTTTTAGAACACTGTGCCTCTGGACAATACAGTTTTAGTGTCACCATGAAAACATGGAAAAAGTCTGCACCACTCATCTGTGGTATGCACTGGGAGGATTGTTTAGACTCTAAATCAGAGCTAAAACCCTACTTAGATGTATGGCAAGCCGAATGAGCATTTATTCTGATATCCGGAAATCAGGCGGAATTGTCATGAACATGTAAGCCATTTCTGTCCACTGGTTAACTAGTGAGCCATGTTTGTGTCAACTAGTTAACTACTGAGAATCAAAATGTGCACACTAGTTAACTAGTGACAGCAGAAATGCGCACTAGTTAACTAGTGAACACATTAAGGCTTCACTAGTCAACTAGTTGACACAAAAACGTCTTACTATTTAACAAGAAAACGCCAAAATGCATACCAGTCAGCTAGCTGAAGGTGTTTGTGTCTCACTAGTTAACTAGTGAGGGTCAAAATGTGCACACTAGTTAACTAGTGGGAGACAGAAATGTGCACTAGTTAACTAGTGAACATATTTGGGCTCCACTAGTAAACTAGCTGACACAAAAATGGCTCACTAGTTAACTAGTAAAAGCCAAAATGCATACCAGTCAGCTAGCTGAAGGTATTTGTGTCTCACTAGTTAACTAGTGAGGGTCAAAATGTGCACAGTAGTTAACTAGGGGGAGAAAGAAATGTGCACTAGTTAACTAGTGAACATATTTGGCTTAACTAGTTAACTAGATGGCAGAAAACAAGAGAGAAGTTGGGCCTTACTAGTTAACTAGTTGACATTAGGCTGTCACTAGTTAACTAGTTGACACAAACATGGCTCACTAGTTAACTAGTGGACAGAAATGGCTTACATGTTCATGACAATTCTGCCTCATATCCGGATATCAGAATAAATGCTCATTCGGCTTGTCTTAAAGAGCTTATTCTGAATCTTACAAACATTTTAGATTTGTGCTGTGATTGGCCACAATTGACTGATGTAGGACTTGGTAAATTGAGTGCTTTAAGAGCTTAATATATTACCTCTACTTATGACCAATAAGCTGTGATATTCTATATAAATATAGAATATCAACCTGCTTGGTCTTTGTATGTTTAATCAGAAGATTCTAGGATTCTTTGTTTTATTCAGGGATTGTAAACACTTTGTTTTGATTCATGAAAGAGTCAGGTTTGTAAAAGAAAGATGTATTTCCCAAACAATTAAAACATGACAAGTTAACTAATATTTACTGTGATGGATGAATATAGATGGAGGAGATGTGGTATATGGTGCCTATGTGTGAATATGGTTATCAGAACCTCCGTATCTAGGAAAGTTGAGTTCTGGGTGTAAAAGAATTTGGTTTGCATTAAGCTATGAAGTTGATTATTATCAAAAAGCATCAGAAATCAATCACACTGTGTTCTACCTCACCCTTCTTGGAGACCCTCTTCACGGATCTGAAGGTCATCAAGGTTGGATGACCTCTGAGCACCCAGGTCCAGTAGATTGGCCACAGCGCTGACTTCTCCAGTCCAGAGATGCTGCCAGGCACACAGATTGGATGGAACCATTTGTGTCTAGACTCTTAGGGAGTCGGAACAAAATCAGTTTTGTTCTGCAGGAACTGTTTGCTGTGTCAGCTTTGCAACAACCTTGACAGTGTGTCAAAGGCTGCTTCTTAGTTAGAGAGACTTTGCTACGGAT